AAAAAAAAAAAAAAAAAAAAAAAAAAACGAATAAAAGCTGAATGTCAAAATGTCAAGTGGCTGCAGCACAGCTGGGATGAGGTGGAATATTTGAACACTGTATAGTTGGGCTGGTTCGTTTTCTAGTCATCCCTCAAATGGCGTTACTCATCCCCTGCTTACCTCCCCGTCCCACACTGCCTTCTTCCCTCCACAGCATCATATCCATTCCGTTTCATAGCAAGACTAGTTGGCACCACACCTCCTTTGAGGACTACAATGGTCATCAAAGGGAACTAACCAGCTGTTAGTTCCCTAGAGAGCTATATCAGAGCCGGAGTCCTAAGCAGGCTCCTCTCAGAAGGATGAAGCCCACATCCATCCCAACCACCAGCTCCATCTACAAGAGAGAAAGCCCCAAGCTGTCTGCTGGGCCATGCAGTCACTGGTGCTGGCCCCTTGGGAGTACTTACTTGGAAAGAGCTGCAACAAAGCCGTGCCTGAATTGAAGGGTGTGGGTTTGTCTGGCCAAAGACCGCCTTTCATTGGAACTAGGAATAAGAGTGTTAGTTCTCAGCACACCTGCTTGGTACAAAACAAGCGGTTTTTTTTTTTTTTTTTTTGAGACAGAATTTCACTCTTGTTACCCAGGCTGGAGTGCAGTGGCGCGATCTTGGCTCACCGCAACCTCCGCCTCCTGGATTCAAGCAATTCTCCTGCCTCAGCCTCCCAAGTAGCTGGGATTACAGGTGCGTGCCACCATGCCCAGCTAATTTTTGTATTTTTAGTAGAGACAGGTTTTCACCATGTTGACCAGGATGGTCTCGATCTCTCAACCTCGTGATCCACCCGCCTTGGCCTCCCAGAGTGCTGGGATTATAGGTGTGAACCACCGCGCCCAGCCAACAAGCGCTTCTTAAAAAGAGTCTTGCGATTGGGCAAGATGGCTCATGCCTGTAATCCCAGCACTCTGGGAGGCTGAGGCAGGTGGATCACCTGAGGTCAGGAGTTCGAGACCAGCCTGGCCAGCATGGAGAAAACCCATCTCTACT